GACAGTAACATCAAGCAAAAACTTAAACAAGCAAGGACCTTTTTTCTATGACAGCCCGATGTTTATATTGCGCAGGTCTTAAGAAACAAATCAGCTCATCATTACAGTCTTGAATTACCTTCTGCGGCAATTCAGAAATTACTTCCCCTTAAAGAGTTTGAAATTCTATACGGGTGAAAGATGGTTTTAAAACCTGCAATCCCTCCCTTCCCTCTCCTAAAAAGGCTAGGCTGAAATGCCTTTAAACTACCTGCCCTCTCCTGGTTTAAAACTCCACAGCCTTCTTTTCTCCGATATTGAGATGGGGGGAAAAAAATATAAATAAGCGATTCAGACTCCATGAACTCGTTACAAGCTCGAAGGATTACAAAACGCGATGGCGTGACCTCGTTGGATTTGTCTCTGCCTCCTCTAGGCGAGTTGCAGCCGGTGGGGCGGCCAGCCGCCCACCCCACCACGGGTCCTCCTCCTCTTTCTGTCCTCCGCCGCCGCTAAGGACTCACACAAAGCGCACCACCGCCCGTCGCCCGGCTGTCTGTCTGGAAAAACACGACCTCCAGCCCAGCTAAACTTCGAGCCCTAAAAAGTTACCCCGGAGCCATTCTTTTTGTCCCTTTGCTGGAACCCATAGAACCAAATATTCCCCTTTGACGAGAAGAAGGGGCAAAAAGGACCACACTGACCTGTTACACTTTGCAAAGAGCGCACAACTCGTAGAATTCCGGCTTTCGTTCTTCCTGTTGCCGAGAAATGGAAAAGCTTCCACGGCACCGCCTCCCAACGCCCAGGCCTCTCTCGTCAGATGCGTCCTGTGATCGTTTGCGTCACTTAATACATCTGCACATGCTCGTAACTGTAGGTGGGAATTGTAGTTTCCCAAAGCAAGAGAAGGAAGGTGACACATATGCCGTTATTTAATTGTGCAATATAGTATTATCTTCTTGCAATAACACAGGGTGCCTCTCTATCTGTGAAACCATTTACACAGTTTCTCAAACTCAGCAACTTTAAAATCTGTGGATTTACAACTCTCAGAATTCCCAGTCAGCATCGATGGGGAATTCTGGGAGCAGAAGTCCATAGGTCTTAAAATTGCCAAGTTTGAGAAGTACTGCTCTGCAACACTTCCCTGCCAAACCTTTATTCCTATCTCAACTGAAGTGGAACAAACTATGCCAAGAGGAAATTATTATAACAATTATCTGCTAAGGGATAGTGCCAGGAGGCTATATGTAGCACTTGAATCATGGGCTAACTCCCCAAAATGAAGGATGCTCAAAGTGAACTCAGATCTGTAGTGCTCTCTTTTGTTAATGTAATGAGTGGCAGAAATATGTGTTAGGGAAAAAGTAATATTATGAAGCATTAATTGTAAATTATTAAAATAATTAAAGGAAGATGTAAACTTTTCACATAAACAGCTTCTTGTGATAGCAATGAGTGTTGGAGAAAATACTTCTACAGCAATGTTACAATCAAAGGCAGTATATTAAAAATTCATAGAATCATATAAGAAAAAGTGAGTGCTGAGCATAATATGCAGTGATTTAACAGTTTACTGTTGTTTGGACATGCTTGCGAATATTGAAGTCCTAAGAAGTAAAAGAGTACAACTATACAGATCAGTGTGTACAAAATATGAAATTGGGCAGTAATTACAATATTAGTATATCACACAAAAAAGCACTCAAATAGCAATCTACATTAAAATAGCATCTGCAGAAACAGCCCCCAAGGAAAACACGATTCCTATTTGCTCCAAAATTGTATTAACATCAATAGGTGGAGGAACAGAATGCTATTTCTTCAACTACCATGACAAACATTTTTTTGCCAATGTTAGCCCCAGAAAAAGTTCTTCTGAAAAACTGAAGTAATATACACATCCAGCTTCTGATGTAGACAATCCTGTCTTCAATCAATAAGTGTCTCTTGAAGACATTTTATGGTACAGTCTTTATTTACCTTATATGCTGCCCATCTCACTTAGAGGCAGCTTTAGGTGGCTTACAATCAATAAAACACTAATTTAAACAATTAAAACAACAAATATTAACATTAAAACTGGTTTCAACTGTTTCAACTCCTACCCTCAAAACGACGCTATAGAGCACTGCACACCAGAACAACTAGACAAGAACAGTTTTTTTCGGAATGCCATCACTCTGCTAAACAAATAATTCCCTCAACACTTGATTGATTTACTAAGTCTGCACTACTATTAATCTTCTCATCATTCCCACTACCCATCTCCTTCCACTTATGAGTGTATGACTGTAATTTTGTTGCTGTATCCTTACAATTTATATTGATATTGTTTCCTGATTGCTTATTTGTACCTGTGACTATCATTAAGTGTTATACCTTATGATTCTTGATGAATGTATATTTTCTTTTACACTGAGAACATATGCACCAAGACAAATTCCTTGTGTGTCCAATCACACTTGGCCAATAAAAAATTACATTGTATTCTATTGTATTCTATTCTATTCTGTTTAAATTGCTGCTGCTTAAGAAAGCTATCATCCAACACATACATGTTGGCTATTAAACACGCACAACTGCAGTCATCTAGGCCTATAATTGCTATAACTACTTCTATATACAGCTATCAACAAGCCACTCAGACTGATAAAATTAGAAGCAAATCTACTTGAATCTCATGTAGGAAACTGATAATCACATGAATGAATGCATGCATTGACATCTATGCTTTATTGGCCAGAACATGATATGATGTTGTACCTGGAGGTAATGTTATTTGCCTCTGGAAAGCCCAGAGACCAATGGATGTCTTTCCATGCAGACAATTATCTTTGGAGATAACATTTTAGGCAAAGCAGCATACGTATTCAGTGCAGGAACTTAGCAGAGTGCCTTGGGAAGGCTGAATGTTAACACTGTCTTAGTACAAGATTGCCTGTGGCTGATGAAAATGTGAGTGCCATCATATTTATTCCCTCTTCTGGTTGCAAACACTTATTATATTGATTGACAAGGATAAATATGAAAGGCAGTACTAAGTTAGGTTGTTTTACTACATCAAGCATCACAGCTGATTCCTATAAAAGGAGTAGCAGATGTGAGTAATTGTGGCACTTGAAAGCTTGCCCAAAAGGAGCTCTGTGTCCAGAGCTTCAATGTGGCTTTCTAGCATTAGGTCCATTTCTGCACATCCCCACTATCCAGACCTTAATGGAGATTATAGAAAAAATGATACAGTTTGAGACATATCCTGGTTACATGCCTGTAGATGGCTGTGGCCCAGGATAATAAAACAATTATCTCCTTGCACACAAAGCAGCCTTGGGGAATTTGAAGGCTTTGTTTGCAGCCTTGGGAGAGGAAGATGCACCATGACAGGCAAAACTAGGAGTTTCATGCCCTCTGGTACCATATCCCAAAGGGCTGCAGACCAATTATGTATTGGTGGTCCAATAGTTCTTTGAGTGTGGCCAACTCACAACCTTCTAATGGTTTGAAAGTGCAGGAATATGTCATTTTTCTTCTCTCTTCACATTTGTGGCTTTCATGACAAAAACTGCAGAGCTTCCATTTGAGGCACCTGAATTATTTTTTTTAAATGCTGCAATCCTTGTAAGATCACTGTAAAAAGCTCAAACAAGGAATACTTCCATTTGCACTTTCTTGTGTTTTGGCAACTCATAATTTTACAGGGATACTTTTCATTCAGCCAGAAATAAAGCATTGACTGATAAACTATAGCGTTCTAGTTTTGCATCCATTTCTCTATAATATAAATCTACTCCTGAGTTTTGATAGATGGGGGGAGGGAGTTGTTACTGTACTAACTTAAATGTCTATTCATGTTAAGTTTAAGGACTTCAGAATCATCCTTGCACATGTTTTTAATGTGCACATTTTACTTTTAGCTATTTCATCTTATTGATGAATAATAGGTGAAGAGCTATGGAACTGAAACATTTCAATGTTTTTTTTCAATTTTGCTGGAAGTAAAATACTGTTACACCCTTCTCTATCAAATAAGACACATTTTTGTGCAGCCTTTATTGAGATTCTTGTTTCATGCATATTTTGTTTTAAAGTGTGTTCTAGGTTAGAGAAATTTAAGGTGGTTTTTCCATATTGCAACAGAATATTGCAATTGTTTCTGATAACAAGACTTTGTGTAACTGTGACTATAATGGGTTAACTATGTTTATGTTCACTATAAACAATGTTTATAGCCATTGTTCTGGATCAGTGGTGAAATCCCATTTTTTTTACTACCGATTCTGGGGGGGGGGGCTTGGTGAGCGTGGCAGGCGAAGGATACTGCAAAATCTCCATTCCCACCCCACTCTGGGGCCAGCCAGAGGTGGTATTTGCCAGTTCTCCCGCTACCGGTTTTCCGAACTGCTCAAAATTTCCGCTACTGGTTCTCCAGAACCTGTCAGAACCTGATGGATTTCACCCTGTTCTGGATGTATATTTTTGTAGTTAAATTTCAACAGTTAATCTTCAAAGCAATGGATTTATCTATTCACTGATGATGTTACCTAGTTAGCACTTCATTTATCTATTTAGCTAACTACGGATCCCTAACTATCGGTATTTTACTTAAAATTTCCTGAACGAGATATTAAACCATCGAACCCCTAAACGGACCCCGGCATGTCCTTTTCACGGGTCGACATTTTAAGATGACTTCTGCATATATAAACAACCCTTTAAAGAACCTGCAGCCTCTTGGACTCTTTATTACAACGTGCATCTAACTGTGCATAAAATTATGGCCCGAATTATCGTGAACACGAGTCTAATTTATCACACAGGAACAATTCTCAAATTTCTAAATTCGAAGTTCTTTTGCTTTGTTTTGAAGGGGAAAAAAAAAAGAAGATTCCATTCGCAATTAACAGGCAGGGCGCCAAACCCACTCAGGCCACGTGATTAGGGGAACCGCGTCCCTCTCTCTCTCTCTCTCTCTCCCCTCCCGCATGTGACAGCAGTTCTTGGCTCGCCTTTGGGGGCTTCATACGTATGCGGGCATCGTCCGTCCTTTGCACACAGCCGACGAGCGGATGTGACGTTCTGGGCCGCTGGGTTGCTGCGCAGTTCTCCGGAGAAAAGAGAAGGAGAACGAGACGGCGAGGCGCATTCGGGAGGGATTCGTTCTTGCGGCAGCTTTCGGCGGCACTAGCCCTCGCCCAGGCTTGGCCTGCTCCTGCCTCAGGCCCCGAGAGCGAGAGAGCGACAGCCGGGCAGGGGCCGCCGCGACCAAACGCTGCTGTTCGGTGAGTGAGTGAGGGAGGGAGCGCCGCCTCGGCCCCTCCCCTCCCTTCTTCCTAACCGCTGCCGGAGGGGGGGGGGCTGCAGGTCGTTTTCGGGCCGGCTCCCTTTGCCGAGGGGGGGGGGGATCCCCGAACGAAAGTCGGCCCGGGGAATCGCCTCCTCTGCTCCCGGCCTTCTCGCCCGTCAGCGTGGCGGTCTCTCCACACAAGGCCCCGCGGCAAGGGATGCTTGGCCGAGCTGAGGCCTCGGCGGCAGACCTCGCGTTTGTGGGCGCTCTTGTGCCGTTTCTGAGGCAGCCGCTTTTGCCCCCTCACGTCTCTTGGCCTTCCAGCTCTGCATCTCATTTTGGGTCTGCAAAGCGATGCTTGCAAAGCGTGTAGATAGACCTGGCGGTTGTTTTCCTATTGGAGGGGCTGCTGTTAAAGGGTGGGGTTTTTGGGGGGCGGGGGGGGAGAGCAGCTTTTGATACTAAGCTGGGAGGAGAGGCAGCAGAACAGTTACTTGGAGGTAGAATAAATCTGGGAGCAATTGAATCTAATCTGGATTTCAGTGTTGACCAAAAAAAATTACATAAGAATTAAAACATTTGTATTCAAGTGTGTATTTTGTATGTTTGTTGAGAGTCAAAAGCATGCTCTTATATGTTGGGTGCACTAAACTTGAAGTGTAGGTGCTTCAACACTCATCTGTTTTATAAGGTTCTGGCATTTTTACATGGCCATTTTGAACTAGTTCATAAGCATTCCAATTGGTCTGAGCCCAGCTGCATAAAATACGTTTCTTAAGTGGAATCTCCACGTGTTTTATTTTTTACCCAGAATTTGGATATATTCTGGTCATATATTCAAATGACTTGGGGGGGGGGTGCATCTTTCTGAAAATATAGCTTGAAGACCGAAATGTCTTAACTTAGGTCTTTATTCAAAATTAAAATCATGAGCAAGTTGTGTAAAATCAATTAGTGCACACATCCCATTTATTCAGCTTCATCCATAGATGTTTATAAAGTGAAGAATGTATAAGTAACTGATTAGATTGCTATAGATTGTTGCCATTTGTTATTCTAATTCACTATCAAAATAGCTGATAAAATGAATTGTGTAGCTGATTAAATTAATACTAAGATTAATATTAAACTACTGGCAGTTACTAGAATTTAAATTTAAAATTAAAATTAACAATAATGACTGTACTCCATACACATGATTTCTTGTCCAGTTGCTTGACCAATTAAACTAGATTCAATACTATGTTTACACATTGTGCGAAACAAAAGTAGTTGATACACTGATTCATTGTGTTGTATGATTACAGCCATTAATAGAACAAACTTGGGCAATGCTATTTGTTTTGTGTCCTGCTCTGAAAGTGGAGGACTGGAAATTCTTGTACATTTTAGATTATGACATCAAAACAGCTGTGTGGCATCCTCTCCCTGTAGGGGAAAATTAACTCAATGGTTTTTCAAAAATCAAGTTAATTTTTTCTTAGGGAAATTAAGTCCCTGAATAAACATAATTCCTTACAAATGTATGTCATTTTTATAGCCTTATATATTAACTCTTTATTTTTTCTTTCAAAATGAAATGACTGGCCAAGATTATGTCTTTTTCAACTGCTTGTACATTCCAGTTAAAGACTAGAAAGCTTCAAGGTACTAGGGGGAAAAAGCTTCTTCCCTTTGATTTTTCCCCCCAAAAGTGTTTCTGCTTTGAAGTCTATTAAAATCAATCATATGAAATGCTTTTCAGATAAAATACCATCCATAGTATACGGATGCAAACTACAAAAGAATTTGATCTTTGAAAATGAAACTTAAGCAACCTGTGAGTCTATAGTGATGTGAAACTATCTAAATAATACACTTTTGATTAATTACTACAAAATTTATGGGTTTTATTTTCAGCTTTAGTTTCCACCTTAAAAATGCAGATTCACCTGCTTAAGTATTACAAGTTGCAGCAGTCGGTATCTATGCATATTGGATGCTGGATGTTTTGCTGCTATCAAATTAAAACATTAATAATACTTAATGTGGAAGGGAGCAACTAACCAGAGTAGTTCTTTGTGTAGGATTTTTTAAAATTCAAGCTTCCTTGCAAAGGGACCTAAATTATGGTTTTATGGCCAATAGAACAGTCATCCAAACATTCTCCCTGTTTCTGTATATTAATGTACAGAGGTCATTGTAATATCTTACAGCGAGACATTGAAGAAAAATCACAACAGTTGATTCATTTGTAGTTAAAATGCAGAGCACCAAAATTATTTTTATATACTTAAATAAGTGTGAATGAGACTGGTAACTAGGTTCCAAAAGTCTTGGGGTACCATAGAGTTATCTTACCAGAGTTTGGACTGTGGGTGGCTGAAGTGTAATTTCTCATGGCTTGGCACTTAAGGCCATCTGTATTATTAAACACTTGAATGAGTGGCGCTTGAGAGGCCCAGAACAAACAGAAGATAAGACTTTGGACACTTTTGATCCATTATGTGTGTCTGTCATTGAGGTTTTTGCAGGGTTCTGTCTTGTCCTGTATAGTTTTTAATAGGACTGTAAAGCATTTGAAAGGAGCATCTTGGAGAGTACATTGATACAAGCTAAGCATCTTTCAGAAAAGTTAAAGAAGCTATATTCTCTGGAATGATTGGAGTATTGAAGCAACTGTGTCATGTTACTGCATTCAGTGGGAAAGCTTTTGAAGCAGTTGAGCTGAGAATGTAGCTGCTTTAATGCTTCAAAGAGCGGTGTGCTTCACTCATGGCAACTTATTTTGCAAAGCACCTCTTTTAAATGTTTTGTGTAACATTTGCTTCTAAAAATAAATTAGCTGGGATAAGTTATATGAATATTTTAGTATAATTGTATATTTGTAATTGTCTAGAAATATGTTGAATTCTTGAGCAAGTGTTTAGAACTCTGTTTCTAAATACAATGAAATTTGAAGTTATTTGCCAGCTAAAACTTCAACTAGAGAAAACATACTTAGTCTCTGTTAAATACACAGTAATTGCATCAAAATTAATGTAATTCTTTGCCTTTGAAAGCTATGTGAAAACTTCTGCTAATGCAGCCTGGTGAATCAGATATACTATAATTCACTGATTCAGTATTGTCTTAGCTATGGTTAATTTTGTAAGAGATAATTCAGTGCTGTATTCAACATCTCTTGATGGAGGAAGAATTTTTTTTTTTGTAAAGCTGTCCTTTGGTATTAAAAGCTCTTAATATCAGCTTGGTTTGGTAGCTGGTAGGAATAGACCTTTTCCCCAATTAAATAGTATGATTTAATTCCAAAATAGAAGCACAGTTGATTCCCCTACTTGGAATACAGGCAGTCTTTGACTTACGATCACAGTTGAGCCTAAAATGTCTGTTGCAAATCTAAAGAGTTTTGCCTATATTACAACCTTTCTTTCCACAATTATTATTGAATCACTGCAGTTGTTAATTTAGTAACACAGTTGTTAGTGAATCTGGCTTCCCAATGGCCTTTGCTTGTCGGAAGGTCAAGGTGATCACATGACCCCAGGACACTGCAACTGTCATAAATACAAGTCAGTTGCCAAGCATCTGAATTTTTATCACATGACCATGGAGAAACTGCAGTGGTTGTGAGTGTAAAAAATGATCATAAGTCACTTTTTAAAATGCTGTTGTAACTGTGAATAGTTACTAAAATGGCTTGTAAATCAAGGACTACCTGTATTGTATTTTTTTAATTAAAACCTATTTGTTCAAAATTTAATATAATTCCTTTATTTCATAATTTGTGCTGCTGCCATATTACTGAAGTACTAGAAATGTTTTTTCATAACAAAAATGGAGGAAATAGACACCTTATTATAGTTAAGGCTATATTGGTAGTTCTAAGCTGACCCGGATTTCATAGTAAAGTTCATGGCTTCATCTGAATGTTAAATTGATAATAATGAAGTTAAATTTATCTTCTTACTGGCTGCAATATTAATCATATGTAAACATTAGGTCCCATTACAGTGGAATTCATAATTAATTGTGTGTAATTATATTTTAACATTCCAAGTCTGGCTATGTACTTCTTCAGGCTGCTTTTGCTGTATTCTGAGCAAACCTGGTAGTAACAAAAAATTAAAAGGCAGTTTACTTGTCTACTATAGTAATAAAAGTATAATGCACATTAAGTAATTTGAAATCTATTTTATACAGTATTTTTTTTTCATTTAATAGCTCAGCTTCCTGTTGAAATAAAAGGATGGATAGAAATGTGCCTATATATGTGTGTGTGTGAGAGAGAGAGATTAGCATAATTGAAAAAAGCAATATTTTGCTCTTAACGGATAAGCAGAAAGCTCCAAGTGGAACAGAAGTTCTCTGATTTCATAACACAAATGGATATATTAAGGATTATATTTACAGACAATGTTTCTAAAGAGTGGAGTATAAAATATTATGGAATACTAATTTTATTACATATAGTATGTTCAGAATTAGCTAATAAAATTTATTTCATGATAATTAAATCCATTTGGCTTTTGTGACTCTATAAAATTTTAAATATTTCAGTGATATATTAACCATAACTAGGACAACTATATTAATATAGAGAGTTCTGTGTTGGAACAGTAGTTGTATTTCAAGTTAAGTTATATGATGTATATGGGCGCATACAGGCTTTCCTGTGTCTTAAAACTGGTTCATGGCCAATAGTACGGTAGTATATAGTATCCATAATCCGATTCCTAAAAAAGTATTTTATAGCAACTGTAATCTTGCAGATTATAGGAATTGCTTACCTGTTGATGTGAAATGTACTTGTAAATATCTCATTTGCAATTTTAAGTTTACTAATTTATACAAATATTTAATAAAATCCAGTACTTTGGACTCAGATATAGAAAGGTACTTTGGAGCATGTTTGGGACTCATATAATACCTTTCTGGAACTTACTGAAGCATTTGCTTGTTTTCTATAATTGGATGGCTGCCTTCCATACTGAAGCACAAAGTGCTTCAAAAAAAGGTGTTTGCTCTAAGGAGCTGTAGAGAGTTACTATAGGCTTGCCCAGTAAAGCACTTTTTTGTTTTCAGTTATGAAGTCCTACGAAGCCCAAATATTTATAACTATCCCTATATCTAAGTTGTCATGAGAGAGTAAGTCCTGTTGAAATCTGATTGAATAAATATCAGTCTCAGAATTGCATTGTTAGAGATATTATCAGTTGATCTACCTGGTACATATAAAATTATTCAAATATCAGTATTTTCACAATCATATTTGTTTGTGAATACAGGATGCACTACTACCTAGATATTCAAATATTTTTTCAGAGATGTGCTTTTTAGTATTTTCATATTCATAGTAGAGAAGAGAGCAGATTTAAATAATTCATACTGTTAAAGCATTGTAGTCTACTAATTGTGTGACTTTTCCCTTCAGTTATTGAAATCATGAATCCTGTTTATAGTCCTGGATCTTCTGGGGTACCCTTTGCAAATGCCAAAGGAATTGGATATCCAGGTATGTAACTTAAACTCATAAAACTTTCTGTTGTGATTTCTTATTAATCAGATCAGATGCTATGATTATCACAATTCTGAATTGAGTTTGCATGAATGATTACAGTCTTCCTGAACATGGTAGCATCAAGATGTATTGGGACTCAGTTCCCCAAATTCCAAGCATATCGGAGAGTTCTATATTGGAATAGCTGAGTAGCTTTCAAGAAAGTATTGACTTGGGAGTGTGCCATCAACTTCTTTTTAACAGGGTATGAAAATTTAAAATAGGAGTTTTGGTATATATGCTATTTGGTATGGAAAATGTAAAGTCGTGATGATACTGTTTTCCACAAGAATTAGGACAATAAACTATAGGTTTTTGCAGATGTTAAAAGATGATTTTTGACCGGATTTCCCCAATGTCAGTTTCCACTAGATGTGTGAACCAGTTCTCAGCATTCCATGGCATATCCATTGTTGGGAATTCTGAGTTGCAAGCCATAGCTGCAAAGGTATCCAATTGAGCAAGGCTCTTTTTGAAACGCATCAATGAGCTAATTAAATAGTTCAGGCATTGAAATGATATATTTTATATAACAAAATATAAAGTATTATTTGGTTATGGATTGAAATTACATTAAATAATATAGTATTATGTTTGTTGGATAATAGTACAAGTACAATATTGATACATCTGAAAATAACTTTCAACTGTTCCTTTTAGCTGGATTCCCAATGGGCTATGCAGCTGCTGCTCCTGCTTATTCTCCTAATATATATCCTGCAGCAAATCCAACATTCCAAACAGGTATATGATACTACTGCATTCAGTAATGTAAACTAAGTTATTTCAAATATTGAATATGTTGACATCTGTGATAGTATAAGTGACACATAATCACTAAGTAGCCAAATACTTTAAAACAGGATCTCTATGTCTGAAAATGTCAAACACAAAGGCAGCAGAAAAATGTCATAATATGCTGTATATTTCTTTATTAGTTATATTTGTCCATCTTGTAGTTTAGAAAAGCATGGTAACCCTCAGAGGAACAGCTCTATGCTTATATGTAAGTGGCAGTGGTGTAATACTACCGGTTCGCACCAGTTCAGGCGAATCGGTAGTAAAAAAAAAGTTACCCATTCCTACCAACTGGTATTTCCGACAATCAGCTGTGCCGCACGATTTAAAATTGCTAAAAAGCAGGAAATCCTGCTTTCTAGTGAATCTAAATTGCGCGGCACAGCTGTTTTCCGCCCCCCCCCCCCACTGTTCTACTTACCTTCCCAAGCCTCCTTTTTCCGTGTGAAGCACGCGTTTGGTGCATACTGTGTATGCATACATGTGCAGTGTGTGTTTTGTGTGCATGCAGTGTGTGCTTGGTGTGCACTGCATATGCGCACACTTTTGCACATGTGTACATCAAGCGTGCACTTGGTGCGCACTGTGCATGCGCACACCAGCAAACCAGTGGCAAACCTATTCAAATTTCACCACTGGTAAGTGGGATTTGAGTCCCCAAATTATTTGTTGGAAAGGATAGATATGGGCATTGTCTTCAGAATAGCTTTTTCACTACATTTTTGATAATAGGAGCATACAGCCAATTTTCAGGAGCCCAGAGTCATTCTTTTTCATGATATGGAGAGAGCAGTTTAAAACTAAGAGCAGGGATGGAGTACCTTGCTATTTTAGCCCTCTTTTTGTTACAATTATGGAATGCCTCCTGTTAATGCAAGTTTTATATTGAGTTGAAGTTCCCACTGGGCAATGTATTAAGTTCTGACAAAATAGTCTTTTAGGCAAGGATGTCAGGAACAAGATTGAACTTTAAACTGGATTATATCCTTGTTCCCGTCCAAAGTAGCCAGTTGTCATATCAGGGCAGGCCAAACTAAAGCCCACTTACGATCATATCCATAGCAGCATTCTTTCATCAAACCAGCGATACTTTAAAATAATCCTTCCTTGAGAGCCATTTTGCCCTCGATATACATTCACCGTAATTTCTTTGGTTTAGCATGACAGCCACTGATTGCCATGATTCCCAAGTACACAATGGCCAAAGAACAAGGAGGAATCATTTTGGCAAGGGTGGATTTTACTGGAAGCCCTAAGGGATTGAATGGAATGACTGGAATAATCAGAACTTTTCAATCTTCTTTTCTGTCCCATAAGATCAAAACTTAGCCATTATCAGGAAGAAAACAGTGCAGGTTTTCCTGTATATGTTGATGTATTCCCAATGTATTCCTCTAAGTTTGAGTATTCCTGATGATTGTTCAAGGAATTAGTACATTAAGGGTATTCGGAGTTTAGGTATGAATTAGGATGCACTAAGGTATCTGGTCTAACTGCATCATGAACTGAATTCTATTCCACTTACTGGCGTCCTCAATCAGTTGTTGGTATAACGGTATGGAACTACACATTGTGATTTTAAAACAATGTAACATTGTTTCGATGGAAAACAATCGTAAATTAAAGACTGGTCCACGCCAAAGGGAAGAGTAGATACACTTACATACATAACTTCCCCACTTTGTCAATGAAGTTACAGTTAACCTTAATTTTGGAAATTTCTGCCTCTATGTATATATGCATGTTTTCAAGTGTATCTCAGAAATTTTTATGTGATTCCACGATAAAAAATGTTACATTAATAACATCCAATTAAAATTACCTGTTTATGAAATACAGTACCTCATTTATAAAATTAATTTATAGAAAACAGAAGTGCCAGATAACTAGAAAAAGACTAAAGATGTCATTCTTCAAAAATGAGAATATGTATAATTATTGACACTCAGTCTGAATTGATACCTGAAAAATTGAGAACAAATAGTAAAGCAAATTATTTACAAACATCTCAAAAACAATAGAAGGAATTTTCATGTACAGGTACTGGTACTTGCCAGATAATTTTTCTGATAAATTTAAACAGATTGTGTGAATACTGTGGTCATTATATAGCTTAACTTCAGCAAAACATTTGACACCACGACATTCTGATAAACAAGCTAATTGTGAACTGTAAGGTATGACAGGTGTATAGAACTAGCTTAAAAAACATAGAATGTTCCTCAATAATTCTGCATCAGAATGAACTAAATAATGAACTGCACAGGATCCAGTCTAGTTCTGTAGAAACTATTAACTCAGTTGACCATATCATATATAAAACAGATAGAAAAATACAAAGAAAACAATAAAACACTTTCATAATAAGTCATCACCCCTATAGTTAACCCCAGTCTGATCTAGATATTCTCTCTTGTTCATAATGGCCTTGAAATGAAGAGTGCAGTCTTATTAGTGATTTGCAGGTTAGTTCCCTGCAATAAATAATATTGTTTTTCTGGGTGCCCCTATATTTTTTTTTTTGTTTTTAAATATGAGTCTTAAGTACACAGCAGAGAACAGTTTGCAGTCGACAAGAACGTGTTCAGTGAGTTCAATTATTGATATTCCACAAATGCACAGTCTTTCTTCAAGTGGGACTCCATGAAATCCCCTATGTGTCATAGAGTTCAGTTGTTCAGCTCTAGAGAAAGCTCTTCTGAAATGTTGAGACATGTAACTTCTTAAACGTTTTTCTAACCAAGAAGCTGATTTGTGTTGAATCAGCCACTTCAAAGATGTGACACATTTAAGTATTGCAGCCACATCAATAACTCTTTGTTTGAAAGCTTCCTTGGCCTTTAGATCTGATTTGATTAGGATATTGAATGATTACATTTGAAAGTTGGGTGTGGTTGAAGTAGAAAGTATGGTTGTCAACTTAGATAACACAAAATAAGCACTGTAGCTAATATATAATAGGAAAAAAATCAGGAGTGTAGTTTGTTAGGAAAGAAAATGAAGTAATAGAATGCAATAAATACAAAGTTCTTCAGAAAGTTCTTCTAGAAAAAGTAACTCAGATGCACAGATATAGGATGGGAAAATACCTGGCTTGATGATAATGCTTGTAAAATAAATACTGGAATTGTTCATTTATGAATATGAATCTGCGGGGGGGAGGGGGTGTTACTGCAAAGAAGACAGATGCAGTTTTAAAATGTATCAGCACTGATATGGTTTACGAATCAGAGGAAGTAATGGTTGTAATTTATTCTTCTTTGGTCAGGCCCCCACTTTGAGTATTGTGTCCAGTTCTGATCACTGCATATTAAAAAGGATTCAGACAAGCTGGAACAGGCTCAGAGAAGAGCAACACGGATGATCAGGGGACAAGAAACTAAGACCCATGAAGAGATATTGAAGAAATTGGGAATATTTAGCCTTGAGAAACAAAGACATGGGGGGAGGGGGCATAATAGTATTCTTCAAATACCTGAGAGGATGTCATACTGAAGAAGTCATACTGTTGTCCGATATTCCAGAGCTCACGATCCTTAATAATGGATTTAAATTACAGGAAGACAGATTCTGATTTAATATTAACAAAAAAATTGTAACAGTAAGAGCATTTCAACAATGTCATTATGTGTACCCTTCTGCAGTAAGAATAGTTCAATGTTGCACTGTATGTACCTCCAAGTTGGTGGTATGTGTGCAACAGTATATTGGGTTGCAAGTTAGTTTTTAGATTAAATATCCTAACTTGCACGGAATAGTGTGATCATGCTTGGGGTAAAGCTGGGCCTTGGTTGTGTTGGTGGCATATTATTCAAAATTTGCCAGAACTGACAGTTGCTGTCCATATTGGTTTTGGCACAGATCTGACTAAGTGTAAATAATACAGCCTTCTCAGTCATACTAAAAACTTCATATGAAAACCTTGATTGGCCAAAGCTATATTAACTGGCAAAGATCTATATGGGGCCATTTGGTAAGGACCATGGCATATTGTAATTTGGAATATGAGTGGTTAAGAACAAGAAGGTAATTAGATGGAAGGGAGGAACCATGTACACTAAGAAAAAAATAAAAATGCAATAGATTCAAATGAAGATAATCTAATACACACAGGGAAGTGCAAATAGTTCTCTCTTATTGACTGCTTGTTCAGTGACTGTTCAAAGCTACAACAGCCCTGAAAAAGGAGTTTTACGATCAATCTTCCAAGTTGTGAACATCACAATGTCTCCACATCACATGATTATGATTGAACCATTTGGCAAGTGGTGTGCCCCAAAAATATAAGACCCGGTCTTATTTTCGGGAAAACACGGTATGATAGTGTCCATGGTCCCGTGATTGCCATTTGTGACCTTCACTGAGCCTCACTGACCTTAAACCTTCCCCGTGCCTGAGCTTGTGCCTTGCCACCCTCCTGAAATAACACTCCTCCATCCACACACCTTCCCCAAGCCTCACGGAACTCCTGCCACACCTCCCCAGTAACTCACACACACTCCCCCACCCAGCAGCAGCCATCCTAAGCCCCACTGCACTTGTGCCATGCCTTCCTGATCACATATGCATTCTTTCACTCCTTCTCCCATTCAGCAACCACTTATCTGCCTGCTGACTTAGTTCGAAGCCACCTGACTTGTAACTTCGTGCTAGCTTGGTTGTTAGAAGCCAGCAGGACATTGCAGGGAGATGCTCACTTAATGACCCAGGATCCTCATTTTAACAACAACAGCAGGGATTATCGCTACTAAGCAATGTTGTCATGTGATGCTGCTCTTTATGACTGGATAATTTAGCAATGAAAATTCCAGTCTCCAAAGCCCTTGTAACTGGTGGACTACCCGTAAATACTTTTTATCAAACTTTACAATGGCAACAATCCAGAATGTATGACAATAGTAGTAATCAAAAATGTAGTTTAATACCATAACTTATTATGCATTTTGTGAACCTCCCAGAGTCAGTGAGAGTCAGGCAACATGAACATTTGATGAATAAATGATAGAAAATGCTTTTTACAATGTGCTTATTATTTTGCATTTCTAAATATTAAAAGCTGAGTACTTTCTTGACTTTTTTTATCATTGCACATATTTTACTCTTCTCTTTGTGTTTATAGAGCAGGGGTGTCAAACTCAAGGTCCGGTGCCAGATGTGGCCTGTGGGTGCTTAGATCTGGCCCATGGGCCCCCCATAGAAACAGTGAAAGACCCACCCACGATGCCTCTGCCAGCAAAAACGGGGAAGGCGCTGGCAGAGGGCTGCAGGAGGCCATTGCGTCTGATAATGGAGCCCAGGAGGGCTGGCGCCCCCCCCACCTCCATTTTCACTGGCAGAGGGGTGTAGGAGGCTGTTCAGCTGAAAACAGAGCTCAGGAACCTGTTTTCGTTGGCAGAGCGTTTGGGCCACCACAGGTGCCCCCAACACGAGTGATGTCAAGCAGGCCACACACACCCCGGCCCCCCAAGGTCAAACACAACCCTGATGCGGCCCTCAATAAAATCAAGTTTGACACCCTTGTTATAGAGGTTCCATCACTGGGCTTGGGGGCTGAGCCTGCAGGATGATTATTCTGATGATTGTAGGGTTTTTATTTTAACTTTCAGCTGCCCATTTTTATTTATTTAATGTGATTTTGTAACATTGTGTTTTTAACTGTTAGCTGCCTATAGTTATCATGTTGAGATGGGTATTCATATAAATTTAAATAAATAAATAAATAATAGTTTGTGGTGGGCTGCAGTTTCTTCCTAGAAACTTCCTAGAAAAAAAATGGATTATGCTATTTCTCACTGTTTAATAATATGAATATTACAAATTATTGAAACACAAAGTTTATAGTTGGCTCTCTTTTAATATAGGTTATACACCAGGCACACCGTATAAAGTCTCTTGCTCACCCACCAGTGGTACAGTGCCTCCTTATTCTTCGTCGCCCAATCCTTACCAAACTGCAGTATACCCAGTTCGAAGTGCCTATCCACAGCAGAATCCATATGCACAGGTAAAAAGAGTATGTTTGTTGTTTGAGTTAATTATATAACAAGTGGAACTCTGCCATTTTCTAGATTCTTAGCACTGTGCTGGTTTGGGGTGGGGGTATAATTAATCATACATATATTGTAAATCAGAATTTTGGTGAATTCTGGCTTATAGTTGATAATCTGTCTTCCAAACAACATGATTGTTGGCTTCTTGTTTCTGGCTTGTTTGGAGATACAAGCCAGCAATCCTGGTTAATATGCAATTATGCTTGTGCTTCCCAATTAGTTCAGATTGATTGAGCAGTTAATCAAGAATGGTTTTGAGAGAACTGAAAACTCATTATTACTGATGAACAGTAATCAGTTCTTTTTTTTTTTTTCCTTTTTGAAGGGTCCGACTCATACCTGATGTGTAATAAAATAATGGCATTTCCTTGAAACCGTGTGGCCTTTTAGTATATATCAATAGTACTGGAAAGAATTTTAGTAAACCAACCATTTTTTTCAACAGCAAGGCACTTACTATACACAGCCTTTATATGCAGCACCACCCCACGTAATCCATCACACTACAGTTGTGCAGCCCAATGGAATGCCTGCAACTATGTATCCAGCACCAATTCCACCTCCCAGAGGAAATGGTGTCACCATGGGAATGGTGGCTGGGACCACAATGGCAATGTCTGCAGGTAAGTGAATTTTCTTTTATTCCAAAAGTCTGTGATATGCTATATAGATATGTTGTTATAGAGCACTTGATACCTATTAATGTGGCCAGTTGGCTGCTACATATAAATTCTCAGACAACCATTGGTAAACAGATAATCTCTTTGGCACATAGCGCTAACATTTTTTATTCTTGTAACTAATCCTTTGACTATCAAACACATTTTAAAATGCAGGTCCTTCTGTGTCAGTGACCCTCACAAGCCAATTGTACACTAAGTACAGGTAGTTACTTGACTTACAACAGTTCGTTTAATGACCATTTGAAGTTACAGAGGCATTTAAAAAGTGACTTGTGATCGTTTTTCACACAAACAACCATTGTAGCATCCTCATGGCCATGCAATAAAAAATCAGATACTTGGCAACTGACTCATATTTATGATGTTTGTAATGTTCCAGGGTCATGTGATCACCATTTGCAACCTTCCGATATGCAGAGTCAATGGAGAAGCCAGATTCACTTAGCAACTGTGTTATTAATTTAACAACTGCAGTGATTGGCTTAACAACCGTGGCAAAATGGGGCAAAATTCACTTAAAAATGTTTCACTTAGCAACAGAAATTTTAGGCTCAATTGTGGTCATAAGTGGAGGACTCCTAATATTCTCATTTGTAGAATATTTATTTATTGGTTGTCTGTCAAAGTGCAGAAAGAAGTTTTAACATGGTAATGCAAGAAGTGAATTTAATTTTGTGCCATGCCTTAATACCATTTTAATTGGGAATTATAGTCCTAAAATATTTGTAAGACATAGGCTATGGAAGACTGATACAAAATGCGGGGGAAACAAAAACAGAACGACAGTCTAATTTCTTTAAGTTCTGTAACAAATTCTGGTGGCTATGCCAACTTCCAAATTATTTATAAACAATGAAGAGTGCTAATTATGAAGCAATTAAGCATGGAAATATTTTTTCCTCCCCAGGTACCTTGTTGACAACACATTCCCCAACTCCCGTAGCCCCCCACCAAGTTACAATGCCCACTTATCGAGCTCCAGGAACTCCAACCTATAGTTATGTGCCCCCACAGTGGTGATTACCATTACCCAGTGTAAGTATTAATACATTTATAGCCGTAATGATTTTCTAATGTAGGACTATCAAAAGTCATACTGGATGCTTAGCTCTTTTTTTCCTCTTCCTTTTGAATATAGATTTGAAGATGGGAGATATGCAATCAAGTAACTGAGGTTTAAAAGTTGGTGCTGAAGCCTTCATGCCTCCAACCAGGACTTGTTTCTTCTGAATGCTTGCAATCCTTTGCTAAACACTAATTCCACTGAAGACTTCCCAGTGCTGCATATCTTACATCTTGGAACTCCAGCAGTTAGTCTTAAAGCAAATCCTGTTTTGTGGACTGTCTTGCAATTTTTAGCTAATTATAATGATTAAAGGGAGTATAAATTTATTGATTCATATCTAGTTGAATGCATGTCTAAAACTCGCAAAGCTTGCTCAACCTACCTGCTCTGACTGATGCAAAAATTGTCATATGCAAAATCCAAACAAGCCGAAAAGTATTTTACAGTTTATATCACTAATGCACTGTTGTAATGTTTGCAGGGTCTTAAAGAGGTAGAATTGTGGCAGTGATTTTTTTTTTCATCATTCTACATTGGCAAGTGTGTTAACCTTTTAAGTCACCAGGTAAAGGGAGAAAAAATTGGCAGTGTTTTTCTTTCTGGTTCTGTGACTGAAGAAATCTTGCAAAGGAACCATTTGTTATTTGTAAGTTCTTTCCATTTCCACTTTTTGGATTCAGTGTTATGGACATTCTCAAGGACAAAAACATACAGGAAAAATACAGTTAGGATATTTTTCCTATCTAATTCATTAATCATCATTGGAATGTTTGGTGGAAAATCATCCATGTAATGGTTTACCTCCCAGAACAGTCTTAAGTGATTGATGTCAATGATTGCCACACTGCTGGTAAATAGAATTTCATTCAATTTTGTTCAGGTCCACCCCTCCAACAAAAATGGGCTAATCTTGGCCAGATTGATAGTTTGAGCAGTTTTCTTTTGTAAAAGCATAGTCATATCAACATTTCAATAGAAAAGAATTCAACATATTCTGAAGAAAAATGTCCTTTTTGATATATTAAAGGGGAGCAAACTAATTAAATGATTTTATTGGCTTATTTTCCTTGCAGCATGGATATGAACCAAGTGTGGAAGCAAATGTTAGAATATACATTTACATAAAAAGTAGGACTAAATTCAAAAGTGATCAAGTACAAAGATTCTTGTTGGTGATAATCTTTTGGCATAATCTTGGGCATATACTTTTTTACCTCCTAAATTGCATTTGGAAAAAGTGAAATTAAGAAAACAGATGCAGTATTTCATTGCAGCGAACCACTTCTGAACTCCTTGCCTACAGCTTTGAGTCTTTGTAGAAGTACCTCAGTCAATGCTGTGGCAATATAGGGCTAGTCTTGGAACCAGTTTGTGTACCAAAATTATTATGGGATTTTAAAAATTTTATTTTAGGCTTTAATTTCAGTGCTAAAAGCAATCAAGGGCTTTCTTTGAATTGGCACCAATTATTATTTCCCCCAGTATTTCCTGTCTGCAATAAATAGTGTAGTCAAAGATTAAAATGTTCCCTTTTAAAGTTAACATTTGTAGATTAGTTTATAGTATTGGTAAAATATTTGCAAGTTGTTGGTGTTTTTTAATTGTGAAACAGCATCCTAACATTGGGATGATAAGTTTTTAAATCAGATGTTACAACTACTTATATGTAACTTGGAAACTGATTTTAGTACTACCATTCTATTTTTTTTTCCTCTGGGGCAAGAATCTTCTGTGCCTAAAATCCCTTTGAAACGGCCCTTATGATGTTTAAACAATAACATACTCTTTTTTTGGTTTCATTTTACTTAAAATGTATTTTCTTTGGATCATTATATGACACATGTATCCAAATGCCAGTGACACAACATAATTGTATGTATTCTTACATTTTAATCTTTAGCACTTATTGCAGCTGAGAAAGTTCTGTATCAATAGAACAAGCAAATTCATTCTTGCCATTTGGGTCTGCTTAGCTATTACTCCATTTGTGAAGTTGTCATCATTCTGAAGAGTGCTCCTTAAACTTAATGATTATTCAGTACGGACACTTAACCAGTGTAGCAGACTTTTAAAGTTAAATGTTTCTTGCATTTATCACAGATGTGAATTTTGAAAAATAGTTTTGCCAGGGACATGTTGAAAATAAATAAAAGCTTATGTCTTTATATAAATGTCCTGAAGTCTATAGCTAATGCAGCACTTTGTAAATGGTAAAGATAAATTGTACTTGATTCTTCTCAATTTTCAGTTTCTAGATACTTCCTTGGTTGGTTGGTTTGTTTTTTAAATACAGTGATACCGTAGTAACAGCTTTTAGGTAATCCGACTTTGAGCACTTTTTTCTGAGTTGTGTTATGGGATTCATCTGCAATGGAGGATTAGTACTATGCTGTCCCTTGAGGAGTAGTAGTACTTGCAAAAATTACTGCACCTTCCAGAATTTGGGGGAGGGGGGGATGGGGCAATGATATTTTATTGGAGATAAGTCCATACCTCCGATAGCATCAGTAGGAAAGTAACCAAAAGCACAGTGATGAGAGGATGTATATAGCTTGGTATATTGTTGCAAATAATTAAAAAAGCATGACTATGAAACAAAGTTTGTACTTCAAATGGATGTATTAGACAGGGGATATTGTGGATTTTTTTCTCCTTCTGGCTGTTAGTTCCCTATTTAGAATTCCTGTATGGGAGGGTGGGGGAGGTAAAGCCTCTAATTCTTAGTATGTGGTTGCATTGAAACTCCTCCGAAACCTTTAAAGGAGGTTGATGCAGCAGAGACAAGGCTCCAATCAAGCTGCTTCCAAACAAATGCAGCCTCTAGAGGGGAATACAGTAACATATTACAGCAATAACAAAGAAAACAAAAGATCTGAGTTTAATTTGAAAGGCTATGTTTTTAAATAATACTGAAGGCATTGTTTAGGAGACATTCTCAAACTATATAACACAATATTTGAAGTGTCTTTTTTTTTTAAAAAAAAAAATAGCAAAATAGACACATTCTACAGATACTTTATATTTGGCCAAGAAACTTGTAGATGTAATCAGTGGTATTAATGCTAACCAACTGACATGAAACTAAATATTAATTGAGGTAATAAATGTATAACTAAAATATTACTGTAGACATACATTGAAATACTCTGAGAAGCTCATACATTACCACGAAATATGTCTTGATGCCACGATGGAGATAATGGAGGGAAGAAGGTTTTTTGCTTTATTTGGATTCCTGAAATGTAACCCAGTGAGAGCAGAGTTTTTAATTTCTCATGACTAAAACTTGGCACAGGCTCCATAATATAGTTAATATTCCATGACCATTGCAAAGTAATTTTAACTTCAGTGGAGAATTTTGAATTTATTAGGAAAAGCTTTTGTTCCTATGCATTTCTACTGAGCATTCTTATTGCTTGGTTGTGTAAGTTAATTTTGTTACAGTCAAAATGCAGGGGAACAAAACATTTTCAACTAGTTTGTATTGCATTGTTGTGTTGATACTATGAAGCAGACACCCAACACCACTAAGGGTCTATTCTGGGACAAGAAATAAAATAGGTATTGATAATTATTTTCTGACAGTGAAGTTTAATATTACATTCTGTATTAGGTTGTTTGCTAATTTAGCATATTCTCTTTCTGTCTCTGCCTGCAAACACTGAGCCCCAATTTGTTTTTAACCTGTGCATAGAGTTTGTTTGCACTTGGCCTTTCCTCTTGACTTTTTCCTCTGTGTAGTCATTCCTTCTCAAAATATCTAACAATCTCATCCACGTGGAATAATAACAAAAGGGAGACAGCAGTGCAGGCAAGGGAGCTGCATTTATATTAAACATCTAATTCTTGTTCAAGCTGCCAGACAGTAGAGATTGAAAGGCAGCAAGCGACAAGTAACTGGAGAGAGGTTGTATTATCAGAATTTTGAATTGTCTCTTCAGCCTGCTGAAGACATTGGTATTTATGAGATGCTGAGGTGGCTATTTGAAATGGGCACTCTTTCTAAAATGACATGGAAATATTTGAGCATCCCAATATCAGGAGCCAATTTAACATACCAAGATAGTCTGAATAGTTTGACTTCCAATTCCCTGTCATCGGTATCTCTATGACTTTTGCTAATCTGATACGACTTTTGAGCACTTAGCAAGCAAACTGTGGAAGCTTCACTTAGCTTGCTGCTGTACAAACTTGTTTTTAGTAGAATGGATTTGTTAGTGGGATTTTTATTGTAGTGCTATTATTGGCTGCCCTTGTGGGGTGAAAAGTGGAATGCATGCAACAGAAGTGCAAGAGGCCCCAGTAATAGTGTTGTTATGAAATAGGCACAGGTTTCCTTTTTATATAACTTTTTTTTTTAAAAAAAAAACTGTCTTAAAACAGTTGTATTGGTACTTTTTCCCAAGTTTAGGTCAATGTTGTCTTCCAGAAGTTTAAAGCATCACATCTTTTGCATCAACACATAGGAGTGGCAATTCCATTCTGAGCCAATTGTGTAAAATTCATTTTTATTATACAATCGAATGAGTAGATGAGCTCAGAGTTAAATTCTTAAAAGCACGTTTATGTAACAGGAATTGTTATGTATTAATACTTCAGTTTTCAATAAAGATTGACTGTGTTGCTTATTGTTGTTGTTTTTCTTTTGCAACTACAATCCTCAAAAATAATGTTAAATTATGTTTAGGCTTTTTAATATGCCCTGTGCTAGAAACTGTTCATCCCTGACAGGCAATCTGGCACATTCTACACATTGTGGATTACAATTGCCATTAGCCTCAGCCAGCAAAGCAACAATGGATTGTGGGAATTGTGATTTAAAACATCTGAAGGAATTCACATTGCCTGCCTCTAATTTACTGAGCAACAGGAGTTTGATTCAGATCACACTTGCTGTCTTACACTATCCATAAAATTTTAAAACAAGTTGCAAGTTTAATTGAAAGAATAATGTTAAAGTGAGATTAGTAAATGTTTTAATTTTAAATTTCACATACTTTTAGAGAACTGTTATAATTTTGCCATGTTTAATGAAAGTTGGGAAGGGAGAGTTGGTATTGGAAGGAATAATTTAGGTCAGTAAGTTCAACTGCCTATTCAGGGTAGGGATTTAAATTAGGGCATTCCAGAAAGAGGCATACCTAAACTTCACTGAAATACCCAATAGAGAGAACCCACTACCCTCCAGGTAATGGGTTCTTGTTAAATGAAAACTTTTTCTAACAATCTGCCTTCCTGTAATTTACGTCTGTTTCATACCATGCACTCTAATGAGAATTCAGAGTTCATGTCACTTGAGTGTGACATTTATCTAATTTATATAACTGCTCATCTCATAAGAAAAATGCCACTGTATCTCCATCTGTCAACTTCTCAAGGCTGTACACACCCAGCTCTTTCAACCTCTTCATAGGACTTGATTTCATCATCTTTCCCTGAACCTGTTCTGATTTCTCTGAATCCTTTAAATGTGTGAGGCCTAGAATTCAAGGCAAAGTCTGCTCAAAGCCAAGTAAGAGTGAACCAATTATTTGCCCCACTCCTTATTTGATACAAATAATGCTAAACTCATCTATTTAGAAGAACATGAGGTGAAACTGATGTGGCAAAGCAATAAGCTTGTCAGATCACCGGTCAGGACTTTGAAAGATAAGCAGCAAGCAAAAATAACTGGTCTATGTGTTAATGGTTTTATTTCACATTTCTTCACATCTGATTATTATATAGAGCAGTTTATAGCCTTGCCTTATAGCAGGCTATAGCCTTGCAATTATAATACCACTCCATCCCAAATTTAGTTTGCTTGCTTGCTCTGTAAACTAAAACTAGTAATATATTTCATACAGTATTACATGATGTCATGAAATGCTTTAAATTTGAGAAATGCTTCCAACTAAAATTAATTTTCTACATTGTAGCCTCTAATACCGTAAGTCATTCTAGAGAATTTTTTTCAGTTAGATCTCTTTTCTGACAATATGGAGAACTTGAGATTCATACTTTATCCTATTTTTGGTAAGGATTTCTGAAGAACAGTTTAATGTTCTTACCTAATTAGACAAGTATATATTTTCCCCTTTTCCTGCAAGAGATATTTTGTAAATTCATGTATATAATTGTCAAAATTATCCAAACAAAACACAATAAATTATTTCCATTTAAATGAAAAATCACTGTTCTGAAATCTGTCTTATTTCCAGATAATCTCAGAACAATGTTTATGATGTGTGTGTATGGTAGCTTTTTTTTAAAAAACAAAAATGTCAAATTGTAGCATTGTTAAAACATCATGCTGATCAATTTGGAAGTTTCACCTGAGTCAGTAGACTTCCATCTGTTATTTGTCTCTATTGTAGAAGCAATCAATGACTTGAGGTTTTAACATAACTATACGAATATTAAAATACCTTGGGACAGGACACTAGCATCACGCAGCTTTTGACTACTAGCTGTATTCTTGAGTGATTAAACTGCAACCTCAGCGTATTATCTTTATGGGCTGTGTTCATGCAACATACTAAACTAAAAAGCTCAGTTAAGTGCATGGACGCTCTCCCTCCCACATCACAGTTTAATTAGCTTTATGCTTCATTATGTCATTCTAATCAGAAAGACCACTAGGTTTTGGAAAACTGGAATGTTTTGTTATAGACTACAATTCCTAATTTCCAGATAGTAGTAGGTTTAGGCAACCAGAAAAGTCCCAAAGAATGGTTAAAACATCTGATAAGTGTGTTTATGGCATATGTGCCTACTGAACAAGCTTTCAAGCTAAACATATTGTGTTAACATTGCAGGACATAGCACCTGTATGAAGGTAGCTAACGTAAAAAAAAAATAGTAAATCTCAGCCCCGATTATCATTTGAGTAAAGGATGGAAGGAATTCTAGGACTATAGATTGGACTGAATAGGTACCCTAGAAAACAGGTGATTCTCTTCTGCATTATGACCAAGAAAACAATATGATTATGTCCATGTGGTTGTGACAATTGAGTGCTAATTCAAAGACAAAATACCTGGCCATTATCTTTGCAACTTTCCCTGATCATTGTGGATTTTTTGAAATTGTATGCTGATGTACAGTATGTATTCATATACTAACACAAGGGTGAATGACCTGCATAATTAACATGATTGCTATTTGAGATGCAGCATGACCAGATGTTAGTTTATCCTTATATTACTTTTTTTAAGGTAAAAGATGAGGAGCTTTGACTGCCTAGAAATTCTGGATATATGCTTCTGTTATTCTACCCTTTCCCATATTGTCTGGAATGAAACAGAGAGGTCTACCATTTCAATATGTAGAACTACAGATACATAATGATACACACTAAACACAAGTATGTACCTTGTAGAAAATAAAAACTGCTGATTGCTCCAAGGCAAACTACTACCAGTAGTTGTTCATTTAAAGATAATCAAATGCAAAGGATATGCTTTTTGGGTTACAAGACATTTCTGCATAAGAAAAAAAGAGACACTGAGTAAAAGTCAGTTTTACAATTTTCTTTATGAAATTAAATGTAACCCCCTCCAAAGAGGGAAAGAGAAAGTGCAAGAATGATTCTGTACATGCTTCTAGCTTTCTATAACTGAAGGCTGGTCAGCTACAGTTGGACCCTGCAACTTTTTGCATCACACTGCTGAATGTTCACTGCCCTGGAGTAATGTCATGCCAGGGTAGGTTGGGTTCTTCACTTTTAATTTCACAGTACCAGAAAATCCCTAAACAATGGGATTCAGTCAGTTATGGCTTCTATCTATTTCACTATTGTAAGGCAAATCTTTTATCTAATCAAAAGATTATATGGAGAGAGAGAATGCCATCAATTTTCAAGTGGTTAGTATCTGAAAATACACTCTCCATAAAAATTGGCGAATCTGTGTTCCTGTCTTCTCTTAAGCACCCTCACCTCCTCTGCAGAGTGTTGCATAGGTGATATACCATAGTTCCAAATAATACTGCTTAGTTTGTAAGTGCCTGGCATGCCTGAAATTAATCTTTAGATAAATATACGTATTGTATCTTTAGGAATATAGGTCAACCTTTCTTCCATATTGTGTCTCCTAGATATGTCTGGACTGTAACTCCCAGAATCCACAAAGCCTCACTGCACCTATTTTGGAATTCTTGGAATGGGACTTCCACACATTGGGAGGACATCAAGTTGTGGAAGGTTGATATAGGCTTCCAAATATTGGCTTTCTTCAGTGGAAAAGAAGAGGCAAAAGAGGCATCAAGTTAAAACCTGACAAGACAGATTACAAATTTACAAAATACAGTTATTTGCACTGTTACATAAATAAACATTTTATAAACATTGAAAAAAAAGTATTGTTGGCCAGGAGCTATGAGAAAGTAAAAGAAATTAAAAGGTAATTTAGGCTCATTTCCCCTCTCCTATATACATTAACTCAATTAGGCTACAAATGTCCTGGCTCTTAGCCACACCTCAGCTTGGTTAATCAAGTACTGGTTCCAGATCAGCTGTTTGACATAAGAGAAGGTGCCGTTTGATCTCTGGGAATGCTCAGGCTGTTCTGGATTTCTGAAAATTTGGGTAGGAGGAAGGGAGAACCTCATCAGGATAATGGGCACCAGTAAGCATGTCAAATAGCTGCTCAGAGCAAATGACCGAGAAGTGGTGGTAGCTGCTCATCTACTGTTGTCTTTTGCTGTCAGTCTTTTCAAATCCCCAAATAAAGGTTCCCAGACGGAAGGGCGGTCCAGAATAAAAGGGACAATAAGGAATTTAAAAAAAATATTCTGACATCCGTCTTCTCCTAGGTGTATGGGCAGTCTGAGTTCATTTTCATCGACATACACACATGCACACATACACAAGAAGATCATAACACTTTGAAGCTCTTCCAGTTGATCCAAAGGAAAGGAGTCGGGAGGGAGAGGATGCTAAGCCAGAGGTGGAGGCAGTGCTTAGGCTTGCAGGACAGAAGCGTAAAGTGCTGTCTCAAAAGGGATTCAGGCACAAGGTCAGGCTGCTTCCCCTCATTTTCGAAACGGTGCCAGCCTGCTGATATTCTGCCAGAAGTTTGAAGGTTTGCGTTTGGGCTCTGCCAGCATGAAGACTTGCTGCTGGGGAAGGTTTGTAGGCAAAGTAGGGTGTTTCTGGCGCATCAAGAAATCATAGTACGTCCTAGTGATCACTGCTGAGCAAAGAAAAAATATATATTTTATAGTTGTATCTTCTGCTCTGCCTCCTCTGAGAACAGGAGTGTCCCATTCTCAATATGCCTTTTTTTACCCAAATTGCAATCTGATGCTTTAAGCACTGTTCTTAAGCAGCAGGCCGTTACTGTGAATACATGGGAAGAAAGGGGGAGGATTACATCCTCTGCAGGTTGTTTCTCAGTTATTTCTCTCAAAACTTTATTTACCAGACTTCTTCACTCTCACACCTCTAGATGTAGTGGGATTGCAACTCCCATTGAAGTTGCATTTGTTGTGCATTTCGAGAGTGCCAGAATAGTAATAGCTATTCTAGGATGTGGGCCTCATTATTAGGTTGTAAAAGAACGCAAAACACATTAGGATAGGGGTGTCAAACTCTATTTCATTGAGGGCTGCATCAGGGTTGTGTTTGACCTCAGGGGGCTGGGGGTGGGGGTGGCCAGGGAGGGCATGGCCCGCTCAATGTCACTCATGTCGGGAATGCCTGTGGCAGCCTGAACACTGTGCCAGCGAAAACGGGATCCCGAGCTCCATTTCCAGCTGCGACGGCCTCCTGCAACCCTCTGCTGGTGAAAACGGAGCTCAAGAGGGGCCTCCTGAGCTCCGTTTTCACCAGCAGAAGGTTGCAAGAGCCAAAAACGGAGCTCGGGAGCCCATTTTCACTGGCAGAGGCACTGCAGGTTGGTCCCTATTTCCAGGGTGGCTCCACAGGCCAGATCTAAGCATCCTATGGGCCGGAGTCAGCCCGCGGGTCTTGAGTTTGACACCCCTGCATTAGGATGTCAAATTGAAAAATAGTATTCCTTAAGATGGGCAATTAAATATTTGTCATATCTGAGTTGGGGAAACTAACATGCTTTTAATACCCAGTTAATGCAGTTTGCAGTGTATCACTGCAGAATCCAGTTAATGCAGTTTGCAGTGTATCACTGCTACAATTCAAAGGGCTACTAATGGTCTTATGCCTATCATGCAATTTAAGCAGCTTGTCCTTGGCCCTGGAAAGGACATGTGAGAAACTTAGTACTTATTGCACGTCTCCTGTTTCTCCAGACAAGTGCCGTCTAGAAAGAAGCAATGGTGAACAATATGCTGACAATTATATGCAGTTCAGTACGAGGTGAGTGGCACAACATTCCATCTTCACATTTTAACATAGAAAGTCAATAAAATCAAGTTGATGTAAAATCTTTCATGCATTACCGTTTTCAATAAAAGACTCAATGCTGTGACTTTGCTGTCCCAGCAGGGGACAGCATCTGGCCAACCTTATCTAGGCTTAAAAGTTAGGCAAAGTCAATTTAGTTATTATTTGTCTGGGGGATGTCCAAGGAATACTATAACTATAACCTAGTCACGGGGAATTCTGGAAGTTGATCCATACATCTTAAAGTTGTCAAGTTTAAGAAACACTGGCCTAGGCTGACATGTTAAAAAGCACATTCTCCAAGAAGGCAGTGGTAAAATGTTTCCTAATTAAATTACAGCCCTGAAAATTACATGGATATGGCCCTGAGGTTACCTGGAATTAAGTTCAGCTTGACAAAGATGTTAACCTTTCTGATTCCTGCACCACCAAATAAAGCCAAAATATTCTAAAGTAATTACTTGGATTTTGAATAGATTTTTTTTAAACTGCAGCTTCTGATCATAGCCTATTAACTCAGATAATTTTGGGGCATTGAGCTGTGATATTTATTTTAGGGGAGAGGTTAACAAGGGGGGCAGACATATCTCTTGACTTGCCTTTTGGCTTTCCACTCTGATTTTGTTTGCTGGCATTAAGCATAGCTTGTTTCTTCTGCATTTCAGTGATGGAAAAACCTTGAAGATGAAAGAGGAATTAATCCAACTCGGCTTTTCTAGCTATGTCATGGAAACATATGCAATGGGGTGGGGGAAACGGGGACAAGAGTCATATCAAGCAGAAAATCCCAATGCATGCAATAGAAACTATACCAAGCAGTATAACAAATATAGATTAAGGTCTGAGGAGGAAAGTGATAGGAATGGAAACTATGAAACAATGAGACTAAAGTTGTTCAGAAAACAGTCTAGTTTTCAGGAAGGATTTTTTAAGAGGAAGAACTCGATTTGTAAGGCTAAAAGGTTGCTGCAGGCAATGGGTCTCCATGGGACAAGATAAAGGGGATATGCTACTGCAGTCTTCTTCAAACTTCTCCAGATATATTCAGCCTATAATCCCTATAATTCCCTGTCAGCCTAACAATTCACAGGGCTGGCTGGCAATTCTAGGATTTAAGACCCAACAGTCTGAAAGTACATTAGTTTGGAAGATACTAATTTAGGGAATCCTATGGCTTTCCAGATTTTACTGAATTGTAACTCTCAGCATTCCTCATCATTGGCCATACAAGTAGTCCTCAATTTATGATCATAACTGAGCCCAAAATTTTGGTCTTAAACTGTGGCAATTGTAAGTTGAGTCATTATGTGACTGGACTCAATTTCACAACCATTTTTATGATGGCCATTAAGTGAATCACCTTGGTTGCTAAGCAAACCATGTGATCATAAATCTGAATTCATTTTTTTTTTTTGCCAAAAAATAGCAAAAAACATCACATAAATGTCATCAGTTGCCAAGCACACGAAATGCAATCACATGACTACTGAGGTGGTATGGCAATCATAACAAGGATGAGTCATAATTAATTTTCAGTTTGCCCTAGTCACTGGTAACTCAGCAGCATATTAAGGACCGCTGTTCCCTATCTTTTACTTATGAATACTCTGCAAAGCTAGATTTCTAAGATAAGCACTTCAGTAAGATTAGGAAAAATTCAAAAATTATATGTGATAGAAATTTTGTGACTCTTGAGAATATAGAGTCAATAATGAAGTGGGAACATTTTAAGAATTTAATACATAGTTAAAGTATAGGAAACCCAAAGGTGCTTTTTCAAGAGTCCACTGGACTTTCCAAGTAATTGTGAAATTGATCTGTCTTATTCTTTCATTGAGAAGTTGGAGCTGAACCAGAAGGTCCAGTGGCCTCTTTAAAAAACACCTTTTTTTAAGGACAACCATGACCTGGATGACTCAGAATTTCCATAGACAAGGTATAGGAAACTTCAATGAAAGACATTCACAGCATAGTGGTTCCCAATGATAGTTCATGGCTATTGCATACCTGTTTCCTGGTCAAGCTGAACCTGCTTCCTTTCATTCTCAAATGCCTTGAGCCAGCGTTGCTTCTGTTCTGGTTTCTTTGCACAGAATAAATGGACTTCTTCAGTGTCCTGGCAATGCAGTTTGAATGCATTTTTAATAGTAATATTGAAATCTTTATCCTTTCCATCTTCCGCGTCCAGAATCTCCATAAGATCCATGTTGATCCGACTCTTATAATAGAGGATGTCACGTCGTAGGAGATCCTAAGGGAAAAAAAGCAAGGATATTTTGGCGCTTCTCCAATACAACACTGGTTAGCCAGAGAACAACAATTTCCCATATACAGACTAACAGTATAGAGTTTTTTAAACTCCTTATATGATCTGAAACAAAAATTACTTTCAGGATTTACATTAAATTCCTTTTTTACACTTTACAGCACTTTATAGTCTCAGCATACTGTCCCCAAAAATCGGGGTCTTCATTTTACCGACCTCAGAAGGATGGAAATATGGGTCAACCTTGAGCTGGTCAGGATTGAACTCCTGCAGTGGGCCGAGTTAACCTGCAATACTGCAGCCTAATCACTGCGCCAGCACAGCTCATATCCTTTGAGGATTCTCACTTAGGCTTGTATTTTAATGCTTAACTGGATGGTTACATATAATAGTTGGAAATATTTATAGAATTCTTTGTCTTACCATACATCTGTAGAATTTAAATTCTAAGGAAGAACAAGGGTGGCAATTCTGGTAGATTTAATTTGACAGCATTTTCATCTGCATCTTTTCTCTTATAAATGCTAAACACCTAACTTTCCTGCAGCATTGCAGAATAGTTCACAACAGGCTTTTTCCATTAATAATCTTAACACAAATGCACAGAAAGCCAGCCTGAAAGAAACTTCAGCCTTATAGGCATTTTGGCAGAGTTCTCTCCCAGATTCTTTCCTTGGTCTATTTAAACAGTGGTGCTTAGTGTAATAAGGTCACCCGCAACACTCTGTCATGTTCTTTAAGCAAAATGCTTGAATGCCAAATGTTAAAAAGCAATTGAGCAAAGATGTAATTTTTCTGCCACCAGGAGACAGTGCACGTGGGCAGAGGCAGCAATAGCTCTTAGCTTACCTTCTTGCAGCATACAAGTTGATGATCAAAGAGGAAGAACATTCTTTGATGACTTTTTGCTTGAGGCTGGGAAATTTTGGTTAACTCCCCAGAGTAGATGAGTTCAGAACTCTTAACAAGGACATCTTCACCCTGTCAGTCAAAACAGAAGGGCACATCACTTTCTTTTCCACAGAAGAGGATAAGGAACATCCAGCAGCTTAGTACAGAAAGTCTCTAGGGTCACAAATGGCTTATTATTCATCTTCCAACTTTGCACCCTCTGGGTTAGTTTCATTAAGACTAAAAATCAGGGCATCCACATAAAAGTGTTTGCTACTATTCCAAATCAATTTTTCTTCCTTTCTCCCTTGCCCTTTGGAAATAGTGAAAAGTGTTTGAAACAATGTGTTAGATGTGATCTTAGTGTTATTTTATAAGCTATTCTTATTTTTAAGAAGAGTATGACTCCACTTGTCAAGTGGCGCAGTTAATCTTACATAACTCAGTTTATATCAAGTGACTTATCATTGCCAATCATTCTTAAACATTTTATTATGTAGAAGACAAATGATCTTGCAAACAAAAAATTACTTGGAATTACTAAATATCTACAATTTTAAAAATAAGCCTAAGCCATACTTTCCTGAGGGTTCCCATGGGTTTTACATCATTTGGTTTATGTAAGTCAGACTGGAATGGCTGTTTCATTTAAACCTAGTGAGGCTAATCTTTTGTTGTGATTTTTGGCTGTAAAATGGCCTCCTATTCTATAGTAAGTGTTGAAAATAATCTGGTTGGAGTAAAATGTTCTACTAAGTAACATGCTTTGAGAATAAAGGGATCTGTGATCCAACATAACTAGACGATGCTACTTTTGGCAAGTCAAAGAAGGGCTTCCTAGAGCTAAATTTAGACACATACAGAATACAATCTCAAGCATGCTTCAATGAGAATAAGCCTCACTGAAGTTGAGCACACCCCAGAGCAGATTCAGAATTTTAGTACAAGTATGTCTTCTATATCCATGGGAGATATGATTTTATATATTGAACTCCAATTGACTTTATTTCCCAAAATGGTATGATTACCAATTGTACAGTAAATCAATACTGTATTTTAATCTTCTTTATGGTGTCTAAAAGGTCACAATCCAGCAGAGAGGAGCTCCAAAGCACATGCAACGCGCTCTACATGGGGCTACCCTTGAAAAGTGTTCAGAGACTACAGTTGGTCCAGAACGCAGCCGCGCGAGCTGTCGTGGGTGCACCTAGGTACACCCACATTACACCAATTCTCTGCGAGCTGCACTGGCTCCCTATTGGTCTCCGGTCACAATTCAAAGTGTTGATTATTACCTTTAAAGTCCTACATGGCTCAGGGCCAGGTTATCTTTGAGACCGCCTTCTGCCGCATAGCTCCCAGCAACCAGTAAAATCCCACAGAGTTGGTCTCCTCCGGGTCCCGTCAGCTAAACAATGCTGGCTGGTGGGCCTGCGGGGGAGGGCCTTCTCTGTGGCAGCCCCAGTTCTCTGGAACCAGTTACCTCCTGAGGTCCAGACCATCCCCACCCTATTGGCCTTCCGAAAAGCAGTGAAGACCTGGCTTTTCCGGCAGGCCTGGGGCCGTTGATCTCGCTCTTGTGATCTGACAAGATCCGGCCATGAATGGTGTGAATGAGTTTTTAATGTTTTTAATGTTTTTAATTTTTAAATGTTTTTTATAATGTTTTTTTTTAATGTATTGTGAGCTGCCCTGAGTCTTCGGAGAGGGGCAGCATATAAATTGAATTAATTAAATTAAATTGAATAAATTAAATTAAATTAAATTAAATTAAACGTACAATATATATGTACATTTACTCAAAAGCTTTAACACATTTACTGTGGATCACTTCAGTGCATTTAGCTTTGTGTTAGATTGTGGCCAGTGTATGACTACCTTAAAAGAAGGTCTTCCCTTTATCAACCCCTGTTTTGTTTTCTCAGTAAGACAGATAGAGGAAAATGCTTCTCCACTTTTTAAGCTTTTGACAGATGACCATATGATGTGCTTGTGCTGATAACTATTAAGGAAACAGTGACAATTTGTATCACTTAAGGCTCTGAAGTACAGAACATTATAAACAGAAGCAGAGTCTATTTTCAACAAATGCCGTCCATTTGAAAACAACATGGAAGGCATTAATTACAGTCAAAACATTCCTGGGTAACTGTAATTCAGACTAAGAATTAATTTAGCTTAATTGTGGTTTTTATTGCTAAGCATCTGGCCCCAAGTAACAGGAATATTTGCAAACTTATAGGGTTATTTAATTTAATAACAAGCAGACAGAAATAGTAGATTAATTTATCAAGTAAAATATGTAAAAATGTATTAATTTGGGTGATAGTATATGGTATTCCCTTATCCAGTAGATGAGTTATGAGTTTATGCACATCAGCAACAATAATGCTCATGTGGCTCCTTGTTTTGAAGATGTTTGCATTTTACCTCCCAGTCTTCTATTGAGCTCTGCCACTGAGCAATTTTGTCTATATTTTCCAAACGCCTCTTCCTTTCATTGATGAGCCGTGCTACATTTTTCATGGCATTCAAAGCAGCTTCAACATCTTTAAAATCCCTACAGATGAAATAGATTCCTTTAGAGATATGAGCAAAAATTGAACAAAAATGTAAAGAACTAGACTTCCAGAAATTGGCAAGGAAATTATGGGTCAAAATGAAATATATCTACCTCTATCTCTCATTTGAGAAAGAGACAGAGAGACAGAGACAGTGAGAAAGAGAGTGCAATTAATATGTCATCACCCCAATTTTAATTTTCTCTCTACTTATTTGGAGAAATTACAACACTGTACTTAACATTTTGATACTGGGTTATTATTTTTCTAAACTACAAACCTTTGCAATGCCTATCAGTTATGCTTATTGTTCTTAAATATTTGTTTTTCCAAGTGTTGAAGTAACCGTCCCTCACTCTGTTGATCCTGCAAGGAAATTGATTATTATTTTCCTATCTCTGTTGCAACTTATGCCACTTTCTGATAAAGGCAATGGAAATTGTGCGTAGAATCTCAGGATTTCATAGAAGGAACTTCTGAAACCTACAGTAATCATTTGCAATCATTCTTCTGTTAGAAGGCAACTAGTTTTTAAAGGCTATTGGGGGGGGGGGGATGAAATTTGACCATCAAGGTGAATAACTTGTTAGATCTCTAAGAAAAATACTGCTTAAATTTAATTACAAAGGAATGTTACCCAACAAAAGGTGTTAGGATAACTAAAACATAATGACATTTTTCTTTTCATCTATTTTTTTTTTTATTCCTCACTTCTCCTTACCTATGCTGTGGATTGGTATATTTCAGCAGTTCTGCAAGCTGTAGGGGATACTTGCAAATTTTCTGAACTGGCGTTAGGAGGAAACCATCCAGAGAGATATCAATCATTTTCTGAAGGAGACGGCATGCTTCAAAGAAATATACGTATTTGTTCACTTTTGTAAGCCGGGAAAGCTCCATGCAAGCATTTGGGTGATTGTTACAGTACTCCGAATAAATCTGGAATTCATTTTGCTGAATTGGAAGCAAAAAAATATATATTATGGAGAACAGGATCAATTTTATTTCTGAAACCAGAATAATCTAGCCTAACCCAAAATACAAATGGACGTAGTTTAAAATCTATGAGTGCGACATCATGTAAAATCTTGAACAATAACATTAATTCAGTTGGACAAAAGCCTTTCTCAACTGGAGTTCCACGAGAGGTTGTGTTTTTTTTTTAAAAAAATCATTGTTTTTTTATTTCACATGTCACACAATACACGTACTCACAGTAATAGGAATGTTTACACACCACAACTCAGCTTGCAGTTTATGCTAATGTTCAGGGGCGGGTTTCAAAACCCATTACTACTGGTTCAGTAGGATTTTCTCCAGGGAGGAAAGGTTGAGAAAAGCTGCCTTAGATGGACATTCTCAGAGCTTAGTTGGTTATTTCTTATTCTTGTGGACAAATGAAAATGGTCACATGGTAGCCAATTTATGAAAACTGTCTGCTCTATGGTGGGTTAACCAAACTTCTGGTCAGCTCCAAAATTGAACGGGGGCTTACAGTTAGGACCTTTGTGGCTCTTTGAGTGTTTAAGGTTGCTGACCCCTGCTCTAGTTAGTCCTCATTTTTTTCTGTTGTCAGATTTTAATCTTTAACATAGCTTTGTTTGTTTGTTTGTTTATTTGTTTGTTTGTCAGTAATCTTATCTCAGGGTAACTCATCTTACAATCATAAAATATAAAAATTGTATAAACTAAAAACATAAAGTTAATACAAAAATATTTATTGTTTAAATAAAAACAATAATTTATTACAATTATCTGAATGTCCTTGTCAATGTTTTCTTCTTTCAGGCTATAATTGTAAGTATAATTTCCAGGAATAGGGTTCACTGAGCTCAATGAAACTTTGGAGTGAGCATTCATAATACATCAGCCACTCCATCACAGGTGTGTTTGTGCGTGGGGGGAAGGGGGGTATTTCTTAGAATTTCCTGTCCAGAATAGACATTGCTCAGAATTCTAGGACTGAAGTTCAGGCACCTGAAGGGTATGGGTGTATTTCACTGTGGGATAGTGTCACCTAACTGCAATTTCCAGAATGCCTTATAAACCTGGCCTTTAGCTTGCTTACTTGCACAAATGTCAACTTACATATTCTAAGAAGCAAGAGCCAACCTCACTCAGGTGTGGGCAATCTTTGTTGAATTTCTTCTCCAAGGCTTTAACAAATTTTTTCTGGCATTTGTAGATATCCTCAATATTCCCAAATATAGTCTTCAACTGCTCTTCTGTGAACATGTCTGCTCGTTTACGGCATTGTTTTATATAGCCCTAGAAAGGATCAAGATTTGTAAGGCAGAGTCAAGATAATCTGCAGTTCCATTCTTAGTCAGAACGCTATATAGATGGAACACCAATATAATGGTGCTACAGCAACTTAGCTCTTATTGACATGCAATGAAAAGACTAATTGTTATAAAAACAAACCTGGAATTTCTGCATTCAAAACTCAAAAGACTGATACCTCTACTTTTAAGATGCCCATAATTAGAGACAGACATAACATCAGCATTACATTAAATGAAACTAAATTGCATCTACATATCATACTCAAAAAAGCATACTTTACAATTGTAAGAAATGATTCACTGGCATTTTATTCAGTTTGGTTTTTTCAGATTCCTGATAAACTTTTATATAGGATGATGATGATGAGTCACAAGGAAAATAGCAGATTTCAGCAAAAAAATTGACCTTATTTTTTCTTCTATTATGAACACTTAACATTAGAACCATCATTAAAAAGGCACAACAACTGCATCAACTCAGGAAGTTCAGACTGCCCCAGGAGCTATTGATACACTTTTATAGAGGAATTATTGAGTCTGCCATCTGTATTTCTATATATTTCCATCTATATTTCTGCCTGATTTGGTACAGCAATCAAATAGCACAGGTACAGACTCCAACGGATAGTTTAGACAGCAGAAAGAACAATTGTAACCAGCCTGCCTTCCATAGAAAATCTATATATTGTGTGGATCAGGACTGCTGAGAAGATATTTGCAGACCCCTCACATCCTGAACATAAACTGTTTCAATTACTCCCCTTGGGATGGGACTATAGGGCATTAGACATAGGGGCAGCTTTTTCCTTTGCGCCAGCACTCTGTTGAACACTTAATTCTCACAGTGCTGTCTAATGTATATGTGTATTTACCCATGTAGCATGGCTGTAGTATTATTCTTATTATCTTCTTTACTCTCCCCTTTTATTGGTATTATTTGATTATTTGATTATTATCCTATTGCTTTGCATGTACACTGAGAGCTTCTGAACCAGAAGCTTCCTTGTCTATCTAATCACATTTGGCCAAATAAAGCATTCAATTCAATTCAAAATAGGTCTAAGTGGTAGAAATTGTCATATTCGTGTGGTCTCTCAAATAAAGATTCCCTAAGGGATACAGTGCATAGGACTTATATATAGAAGAAATAGATTAATAGAGGATGAGAAGGGTTTTGATTGGGGTTTTTTTTTAATGTCTCAAATGTTTTGGATGAAGGTGGTGCTGGACATAACCTACCTGAATTTTAGCAAAGCTTCTGATAGTTCTATATAACGAGCTCCTTAAAAGGTTGTACAGGCTAGGGCTTAATCATTGGATGGTTCAATGGAAAGGAAGTTGGCTCAGGGATAGATCCCAGTGTGTGATGTTAATGGGACACTGTCTGAACAAAGACCAGTCACTAGCCATGTACCACAAGGCTCTGTCCTAGGTCCTGTTCTGTTCAATATATTTGTAAATGATAGAAGGATTGCTAGGTAAGGTTTGCTTTTTGCTGATGACACAAAGGTGTATAATAGAGTTGAGGTTCCTGGAGGTATTCCTAACATGGAAAACAATTTTGCATTGCTTGAAAATTTGTTAGAAAATGTGGAGACTGCAGCTCATTGTTTCTAAATGTAAGACCGTGCTCTTGGTGAAAAAGAATCCTCTGGTAGGGTACTGTATGGGGATACAGTATTAGACAGAACAACAGAGGAAAATGATTTAGATATACTTATAGAGATGACTACAAAATGTGTAAACATTATGGACAGGCAGCTGTGAAGGCAAACAAAACTCTGGTATGCATCATTAGAGGAAACACCAGCAAGAAAAATGAGGTCTTAATCTTGCTATAAAAGGCTTTAGTTAGACCCCATTTGGAATACTGTGTTCAGTTCTGGAGACCTTACTTAAAAAAAGATATTGATAAGATTGAGCGAGTCCAGAGATGAGCAACAAAATGGTACAAGGTCTGAGGGACAAAAGATATCAGGAAAGATGGAGGAACTGAGCCTGGAGGATAGAAGGGAAAAGAGGAACATGATTGAAATTTTCAAATATATTAAGGGTGTGAATAAGATTCTAGAAGACAGTTTTTTCAATATTAAGCAAAAATTAAGAACACGGGAAGTTCAAAAGTAATGTTAGAAAGAATAGTGGAATAGTGGAAACTTGGAATATATTTCCAGCGAAGGTAGCGAGTTAAATATCAGTAACTGAATTTAAACATGCTTGGGATAAACACATGTCCATCATCTGACAATAATTAAAAAATTAAATTAAAAAATTAAAATTAAAAAAATAAATACATAGAAAAGAAAAACAAAGGGCAGACTCAATGGATCAATAGGTCTTTTCTGCTGTCAGTTTTCTATGTTTCTAGAGCTTTTTAGAATTCTTTCTATTCTTAAACATGAGCTAATCAACATCTTTGATTAACGTACACTAGCAAACAACACATATTACCTATATGCTTCATTACCTCACAGATGTCTTTTAGGTGTTTGATGTAATCTCTTTCTGTGCTTAGAATTTCATTAATAACATTGGTTCTCATTTGATCCTTTGTTGTATGCCCCATTCCATAGCGATGAACAGCATTTCTTCCATCTTCTTCCCGATCGTCTTCTAACTTCAGAGGATAGTCTTCAATTGGTTCATCCTGGTTTACTCGGAGCTGTATCACATATGCATTATTATCTTAACATTATTTAACTACTGAGAGGGAGGTGGAGTTTGGGCATCCATGAGAAAATATCAAGCCTGTGAGATGTATTCTATCTAATGAGAATTTGAAAAGCCTTGGCTCAAGGTATGGACCTAAAAATCCCTAATTAATCTTTGTTCCATCTCATCTAGAAATCCATTTGTCTGTTTTGCTATTATTACATCTATTTTAATAGTAACATCTTTGCTTCCTGTCTAGAACCAAGAAAATACTCTGACCATTCTTTTTCCAATATTTCTAGTATTGCTGCATTCTATTGTTTTTTCAAGGACAACAAACTCTTTTAAGCATCTTAGAAGAAACATGCACCAAAGTTAGAGGTAACTGTAATGAACCATAGCCATATCACAGATATGAAGAAGAAGAAAGAAAGAAACTTTTTCTAATAAAGAGATGCAGATCCTATCCTAATAAAAGATATGGTTTCACAAGGAGGAGTTCTATGTTCCCGAACTCAAGGATTGGAGCAGGCTATGCAGGATTCTATGCAGGATTCTTAGAGGAAACAAAAAAAACTCTCTATAATTATACACTTTTGTGTATAATTGCCAGTCCCAAGCTTGGGAGAATTTGCCCATCATTAGTTTCCATTCAATAAGAACTGTAGTGTTCCACATCAAAAATTCAATTTAAAAAATGGCAAAGCCTGTTGGAAGTTCTGGGAACTGATATCCAAAATATGTTTTGAGAAGAAAATGGTATTTAAAAATTACATAATTCATATTCTCTTATTGTATCCTGTACTTCACCACCTCCTGAATGTCCAGTGTAATATCACAATTTATGATATTAAAGTTTAAGTATTTGTTGATGGTGAATTAGATAATTGGCCAATAGGATCATTGATCAATGTTTTATCTTAGAAAAGAACTTTATCCCCAGCATATAAAGAATCCATTGGAAGTACTTATCTTTACTAATGTGGCTATAGAGCAAATGACAGCATATTACGAGTAACATAAGACAGCTATATAACATATATTCCTCAACTCTGCATCTTCATCCTAAAATATGTTTTTATTTTACTCGAACATCAAGTATTTATAACTTTTCTTCTTCCACTCAAACTAAGCACCATAGAAGGGAACATGAATGACATCATTAATAATCTTGGACTGCATCCCCAGAGATATGGTGTTGAAATCATGGGAAGTGATAGTTCTTCTAAGACCAATGCAATTGCCAACATTTTTCCGTCTTTCTGAATAAATATGAGAAATATACAAAACATCCAGTAATAATCCAAAAATAGGTTTACACAGTTTAAAAAGAAAGATAGATAACTACAAATTATTGTTGTATGAAAAATATATTAAAATAAGTAACCAGCAGTATTTAAACCACACAATGATGCATTCAGGTTATCTTCTTTCCCCAGTTCATTGATGAAGGGTTACATGGGTTCTTACCCGTATGAAGCTGGCTGGAAACCAGCCTTCATTCTCCATTATCCTGCCCCACCACCATTCTTTGTTAGTAGCATCCATGACTTCAACAACATCGCCAGCCTTGAAACCTAGTTCTTGGTCATCCATAGTGACATGATCCCAGAGTGCTTCTGCATAGACCACACCACCATCACTGATAAGCTGAAACGGAGAACACAAAACATTTTCACAAAGTCATGTTGGAGAGATGAACCAGTTTGCTGGGGAGAGAAAGGGCAAAAAGGGGGAGGGGGTGTTTTTCCCCTACTACCTATCCAGTAGGCTTTAATGGAGATGTTGTCACTGATCTAAGAAACAACAAAATTGGCTTTACTGAAATAAGTGCTGTTGTTTCTTTTTCCTCTCTTTTCTGTCAAACCAGGAACCTAAAGTTTGTTAGTAATTAGAAACTGATTAGCAACTACTTTTTTATTTTTTTATTATTTATTTATTTTATTTGACAAGCATATATATAATGTCAAGCTTGAGGAGGGGCACCATTTGCTTAGTTGTTAAAACTTGCATCCGCTGTGTTCAAACTACTTTTGTTTTTTCTGTTCAGTCATGTCCAATTATCAGAGACTGCCTGGACAAGTCCCTGCAGTTTTCCTGCCAAGGTTCTTCAGAAGTGATTTGCTATTGCTTTCTTCATAGGGATGAGAAGTGACTGTCACCTAGCTGTACAGCACTAGAATTCACAGCCACACACCTTGTAATGATAGCATCTGGTCTCATTCTTAAGATTTCCTCCTCTCCAGCCTCACATATATTACAATTTCATCAATATAGAATCACAGATTCCCCTCCTTGAACAATATTCAGCCTAAAAACCAGAAACAGTCATGTCTTTGCATTTAAAATACTAAAGGTCATTCTAACAAATAACATAATAACCACTATACATACTAAATGCTTGTCAACATTTGGGACTCTCATAATTTCCTGGGGTTATAGAAGCTGAGGAATGCTAGATGGCTGTTCCCGTGTTTTTTGGAGCTTTATGCTGGACTAAAATTAACCCCAAATTCTTGTGTCAAAAGTTTCATCACATTTACATTTTTGTTCAGGTTGAGTGGCCCAGTTGGCAAAGAACAGTTGAATAATCAGGCTTTGTGACTGTCAGTGTGCTCTTGCGAATAATTGAATTAAGAAGGGATGGAAACCCGTCTCTCCTAAAATGATTTGCACTGAATTTCTAATTAAGAGTCTCAGTCCTGTGCATAAACCATAAGTCTATAAGTATAGAAGAGTAAATATTTTTCAATTTTTGGGTCTGTGCTAAACAGACTTCATTCCTCCTTGCATTTCTCCAATCAGCTGATATAAGAAGGGAAAATCTAGACCAGTGATGGCTAACCTTTTTGCCATCGCATGCCAAAAGCGGGGGGAGTGCGGGGTGGTCGCAAGTGTGCGTACCCACACCCATAATTCTATGCGTCCTGCCCCCCCCGTGCATGTGCACGCAACCACCCGTGCTCCTCCCACTTTTGGCATCTGATGGCACGGTGGACCTGGTAGGCCCGTTTTTCGCCCTTCCCAGGCTCCAGAGGCTTTCTAGGAGCCTGGGGAGGGCAAAAACAGCCTTCCCCACCCACCCAGAGGCCCTCCGGAGGCCGGAAACAGCCCGTTTGCCAACTTCTGGTGGGTCCAGAAGGCTCAAAAATCAGCTGACCATTGCATGAATGCGTACTGGAGCTGAGCTAGGGCAACGCTCGCATGCCCACTAATATGGCTCCGCCTGCCACCTGTGGCACGCGTGCCATAGGTTCGCCATCACGGATCTAGACTAAAGTCAGAAATCTGAGTTGTCGTCATATATTCTCTTTCCTAAGAAAAAAAATATTTGAAATTCATATATAATAGGTAAATAAAATTAATCCAAGGAGGATTTTCCCCTTAAAGAAGCTCATATCAATGCAACTCTGATGATGATTACACAGCCTTTCTAAGAATAGCATTTTCTATTTCATTGATCCACATTTGGGGATTCACTATAAAAAGCTCTCTCCCTCCCTCCCTCCCTCTCTCTCTCGTTGCACTTGTGTATCCATTCATGCCACAGAGTATTTCAAGAAAATAAAAAATAATCTCATAAACATATTACATGTTCCTATTGTTTACTACAGTAAAATTATTTCAATTTATTATTCTTAAAGCAGTTTGTTTATGTGTTCAATTTATATAGCCACCCATTTCACATATGTGACTCTGGTAAAAGCTTACACAATTAAAAAGCAAACACAAACAACTGTCAAAGCAAATGATATAAAACCATTAAAACAATTGAAAACTATAACCACAAATCGTGGATACTGCAATTAGACTCTTATACACAGTACAGCCTTTTTGAGAACTTTCCATTGGATCCCCAGGTCTGATTATAAAACCAAGTTTCCAGGGCCTTCCAGGAGGCCATTAAATTCAGAGCTGATCTCTTCTCAGGGGATCATGGTCCAAAGAAAGGGTACCAGCAGAAAAGTCTCTCCTTCTGGTTGCCACCAGATGAAACTTCCTAATGAAAATAGCTGCAATTTTTTATATATAAATCTCTTTGACAAAGTGACAAAAGTAGTAGACCACAACCTACTACTTAATAAGATAGAAAGATGTGGGTTAGACAGCATCATCACTAGATGATGGCTGACAAACGTAGCTGACTGACAAACCACACTCAATGCGTAGTCCTTAATGGAACTGCATCTACATGGAGGTAGGTATGCAATGGGGTACCCTAAGGCTCTATCTTAGGCCCAGTACTCTTAATATCTTCACAAGAGATTTAGACAAGCAGATAGAAGGGGAACTCATCAAATTTGCAGCTGACACCAAGTTGGCAGGAATAGCCAACACTCCAGAAGATAGGCTCAAAATACAAAAGGACATTGACAGACTAGAACACTGGGCCCTATCTAACAAAATGAAATTCAGTGGTGAGAAAAGTAAAGTTCTACATTTAGGCAAGAAAAACCAAAAGCACATGTAGAGAATAGGTGGTTCAAAAGTGGCTGCAAGAGAGATCCAGGAGTTCTAGTGAACAATAACTTAAATATGAGCCAGCAATGTGCTGAAGCTGCCAAAAAAGCCAACGCAGTCCTAGATTGCATTAACAGAGGGATAGAATCAAGATTACATGAAGTGCTAATACCACTTTATAATGCCTTGGTAAGGCCATACTTGGAACATTGTATCCAGTTTCGGTTGCCAGGATATAAAAAAGATATTGAGACTCTAGAAAAAGTGAAGAGAAGAGGAACAAAGATGATCAGGGCCTGGAGGCCAAAACATACAAAGAATGGTTGCAGGAATTGGGTATGCCTAGTTTAATGAAAAGAAGGACTAGGAGTAACATGATAACAATGTTCCAATATCTAGGTGGCTGCCACAAAGAAGAAAGGATCAACCTATTCTGCAAAGCACCTGAAGGCAGGATAAGAAGTAATGGATAAAACTAATCAAGGAGAGAAGCAATATAGAACTAAGGAGAAATTTCCTGACAGTTAGAACAAATAATCAGTGGAATAACTTGCCTTCAGAAGTTGTGGGTGCTTCAATGCTGGGGTTTTTTAAAGAAGAGATTGGACAACTTTTTGTCTGCAGTGGTAAATAGGGCTTCCTGCTTGAACAGGAGGTTGGATTAGACCTCCCAAATCCCTTCCAACTGTTATTATCATATTTCTTTGAAAGTATAATTGTTTCCTGATGCAGGATCCCCACTGTAGCTCTATTTCACCTTACCCTTACTAACCTATCTTTGTTTCCTCAGGCTACCTTACAGGCTTCTCCACCCATTTTCCTCTTTGCAGGGTTACTTTCCCTCTTCCCAATGCATCAGTATATTCTTCCAGTTGTCTCACTGCTACTTTCAAGTCCCTTCAGATTAGCTTGAAATATTTCAAACTGATGCACTAGTTTTCACCCAACTTTCTTATTTTTTTAATGAAAGTCTTTGCTTCCCATGGCAGTTGGTTGTAGACCAGTTCTTTCCTTTGAAGTAGTTCTTGGGGGTGAGGGGAGATTATATTCACATATAGAATGGAATACACCACAGGTATTAAGGCTCTTCATCAGCAGAAAAGTCCCTGCAAATATTAAGCTGTTTCTCCCTAATAATATTCCCCATGCATTTTTCTTAGAGTTTGCAACAATCCAACCAGTATACAAGTAAATAATTCAGTAGGATTCATGTATAAAAGAAATGTCTTTATATACAGTAATATGAAGCATGATACATGTATACAATACCCATGCAGCAGAAGAGAGAACCAGAAATCACAGAATCCAGAAGCAACAGAAGCAATAATAATCCTTATATAGATACAGTTCAGTCAAGCTAAGCCACGCCCAGGCTCCGAGCCATGTCCCCTACTCACAACAGATTCTGTTTCTTAGTCACCAAACAGTTCCCATTGGCTGACTCAGCTCATAATTTCTTACATTCTGACAATTTTGATCCCCAAGCAGGTCATAAAGGCAAAGAAAGAGCTCCTGTTCACTCCTGGCTCTTGCTTACACTACCACAAAAACCTATTCCAGAACTAAGTTCTGAATATTTAGCTTCAAGCCATAGATTGGTCTGTTCTCTAGCAGCCTTAGGGCATCCATAGAAAATAGCTAACAATTTGTTAAAGCCACAGTTACATTTTGTGAAGATATCCAAGGAAACAGTCCTTTGTTTTTTTTATTTTTTGCAGAAAGATAACCTAGATTACTTTTTCTATTGCCAAGGTATCAATTAAATATATTTAGTAGCTAGTATTGTATGCTCAAAGATAAAACCAATTTCCTTGGCCCTTTCAGCTTTTTTTGCTATGTCCCCCTTGTTGCAACTTCAGGGGTCCTGAAATGTTTTATTTTCTTCTGATCTGTAATAAGACTTCACACTGAGCTCAGAAAGCACTTTAAATGACTCCCTATGTCTTAGCAGAGTCAAATTAATTTGTTTTTAAAAGACAAAGATTTTAAGGCAAGGAATCCTTCTTACATCTGCAGATGTAGGTGGTATTAGAAAATGAAGAAGAAAAATGATAGTGCCATTTGTCACAGGATTAGGATCAGGAAACCTGTCAGATTCCTCAAATCACATGGAAGATGATAAAACAATATGGCTCTTGGATATGATAGTTTATGTATTAGCACACAATCAAAATGGTGATACACCTGGA